TCCTTATTTGAAGAGCAGTTAGTACATAATCTGGTTAGATGTGGAAGTGCCTGAGGAACTAAATGATTTGATGCGAGAGAAATCAGGCAACAACAATCTTGTCCTATCTCAATTTGGATTAATCAATATTTCACCACCATTTCCACAAACTTCTATCAGTGTCTTTTTTTTTAAGTCCTCACCCGAGGATATTTTTTCCATTGATTTTTTTTTTTTTTAGAGAGGGTAGAAGGAAAAGAGGAAGGGGAGAGAGAGAGAGAAAGAGATCACATGAGATACACATTGATTGGTTGCCTCCCACACACCCCGACTGGGATCCAACCGACAACTGAGGTATGTGCCCTTGACCAGGAACTGAACCCGTGACCCTTGGACCCTTGTGCTCTAACCACTGAGCACAACTGGCCAGGGCTCTATGAGGGTCTTGATAGGCATTTTGGGTATTCATCAGAATGGTTCATTGTTACTATAGCACAACAGTATATTCACATTAAAATATATGCACAGAGCGGCCAGTGTGGCTCAGTTGGTTCAGCAGATGGATGTTTCTCTTTTATGGATGTTTCTATCTCTCTCTCCCTCTCCCTTTCTCTCTCTGAAATAAAAGGCAAAAAAAACAGATTTAGAAAAAATAAAATAAAACAAAATATATGCACAAAAGTATCATGAGTTTATTGTCAAAACTATCGATGATAATATGACACACAAGAAAGCAACTTTAATTTCAACTGATTTAGTTACTCATTCAATTCTGTTCTTTACTGGAAGACATTAGTCAAAGGGGTCACTTGCACTTATTAGGGCTGTTGACTAGATGTCTGTGGAACTATGTGAATCTTCTAAGGCACATATATGTCGATAACGGAGTGAGGCAAATATTTGTGCATGATTGCTAAGATGCTTTTGAAAGACAGTTCTAAAGGAGGCAAAAATGTTTTGTGCAGTCAATGTCAGTGAAATCAGCTGAGTCCTGCAAAGCAATTACTCTGAAGGACAGCACTCATCTGCTTTCCTATATACTGTATTTGTTTTGGGGGTTGTTTCAAGCCACTCCTACTTTCTACCATTACACGTGTTAGTACATAGTTCATTCTTCATTGGTGCAAATATATTAAGAAGCATGAAACCTGTTGCATAAATGCCTGTGTGAGCAGGGAATATTTCCCCAAGGTAAAAAATTATCTACAAAAGCATTCTGAGTGGAGCTGGGTAGAGCATCTTGGATATAACCTGTTCTGTTTACTTTTGTTTCTTGGGTAATTGAAAAGCCCAAGCTGCTTTGCTTTATAAGTAATTTCTATGCTCCTAAGGGCACAATTCTGCATTAACCGAAGATCATTTTCAGAATAGGCTGTGTAAAGATGCCTTACAAATGCAATGTTATTAAGGTGGATTGAAAACCCAATCCACTTGAGGTTAGGCCTTACCTAATATTTGGGAGAGAGAATTTTTTAGTAGTTTAACCCCTCCCCCACCTTTAAAAAAAGATTTCAGAGAAATTCCAAGCGAACTAGTATGACCATTCTCATTTCAGAAATGAGGAGACTGATACATACAAGGAAAGTAACGTGTCCAAAACCCCAATAGAGGATAATTAAGAGAGAAGTTGGTTTCCAGTTTCAGGCTTTTATTTTCCTAACCTGATAGGGTCTGCTTTTCCCCTCTAAAAATGAACATGGGAAAGAGAGACCGGCTGTAAACTTCTAGAAGGAATGGCTCTGAATAAAGAGTTTTGGGGAGGAATGCAGAAGACACATACCATAGCCCTGTGGACTGGCTCCCTAATCCTGCTTTTCTCTGATCCACTAACTCAGCCTGGGGGGCTGCAGGCATTAGCACCCGGCTTCGCCACGAGACAGGCGCTCCTCAGGGCACTCAGGGCTTGGGAAATGACCAAAGAGCAAAGGATTAGGAAGTCAGCTGGCTGGAGAAAGCGCCTGTTGGGTTTATTGGCGACCCGCTTTGCCCGGAGCCAGGGCGCACGCCCGCCGCTGGCCGAAGCCGCGCTCCCCGCCTCGGAGGGGCGGCGGACACCTGTTGCTGCAGCTGCTCCTCGTGGGCCGCGAGGATCCCGTCTCGCTTTCCGCAGCGACCGCCCATGTAGAGTTTCAGCGCCCCGCGCTTCACCCCTGGGCCAGGGTGCCCAATGCCGACGCCCACATATCGCCCTGTTTCCGCGCCGGTCCAGCGCTCTGCCTCCGCTCCTGCAAGCGAGAAACAGCAAGAACTTGCGCCTCGCGGCCGGCCTCCTGCCGCCCGGCCTCCC